CTCTGCCAATTCTGTCCAATCGGCTTTGGTTGTCTCTCATCATTAAGAGTGGCCACGAGCTATTCGAACTTGACTTGGTTCAGTTTTAATCCAGCTTTGAATCGAAGTTGTACCATTTGACTTGATTCGGCTCAAATCCACCACTACTCACCATCCCACGACGAGTCGTAGAGTCCGGCTTTCATTGTCTCTCACCATCCCACCACGGCGAGTCACAAGGAGCAACTTTCTTTGTCTCTCACCATCCCACGACGAGTCACAGGCAAGTGAATGCTGTTGTTTTTGGCGATCGTTGTCTCTCTCCCTCTCACTCTCTCTTATTTCTGTTCCCCTCTTCCTCTCTCACCCTTTCACATTGTCTCTTGTTTCTGTTCCCTTCGAACGCTATTGTGTCTCTCCCTCCAACCAACTCTATCTCTCTTCCTCTCTCCCTTTGTCTCTGCCGGCTCTAACTGACCGATGATGATGCAAGTGAACGCTGTTGTTTTCTTGTAATTTTGCATGATGGACACGTGTATTGCAAGCCACCTCCAGGCGATGAGAAGATTGATAGCTTCGACTGGGATAATAACCTACAGCTACTTGCGAGCAGTAAGAATTATTTTACTTTATTTATTATAAAAAATAATTATTATTATTATTATTATTTTTTTTTTTCTAATGATCGATGGGCATTAATCCTCTAGCTAATTAGGAAGTGTTTGTGTCTTCGAATTTTTTATACTTACCGGATAGGCATAAACATTTAAGTGACTGTTTGACTTACTAGTTGAATAGGCATAATCATTCTCGTTGGTAGATGGTATGTTTCGGTTGAACATTTTCTATATATTGAACCTTGTGCATGTGCCTTGCACTGTCACACTTTCTTTCCACTACAGTAATAACAAAGGCAAAACTTGCATTTGCTAAGTCAAGATACTTGTGACTACACTTTCATCCATATTTATTTTGGATAGTTCGAATGGTTACAACTTACAAGTGTATCATGCATACATTCCATGAATCTTAAAGTATTTGTTTTGGAAATTCTAACCTTTTTTACTATCTATGCTATTTATTTCATATGAGTAGTAATTTTATTGTATGCTAATTTATGTATTAAGCTAGATTTTGATAATAGCCCAAAAGAAACAAAAGCTTGATATGATGCTGGCTGTTTGGTGCAAGAATTACTAGGTGTACTTGGATGCTTGATATTACAAGCATTTTAATAGTCCCACCAATTCAGCATTTGTGGCCTATGAGAAGGTTAGATATGAAGTTAATGAAGGGAAATGTTTCAAATCTGGGGTGGGCTTAGAGTATTGTCCCACCAATTCCAGACTCTTCCCCTGCAATATAGTAATAATGTATTCAGAAACTTCATTGACACCATGAAGGCTAATCCAAAATGCCAGATATTTGTTAAAATAGTTGTTTTTATTTAGAGTGTCAACCACTAGTTGGATCAGACGGAAAACTCCATGACTTGAAGACAACTCAGTCTTTTAAAATATTTGATTTACCTGATCCAAGAAATAGAAAAAAAAAATACAACATAATGTCATGTTCACAGTGTACCATTCATTTCATAGAACAAAATAATAATAATTATTTGAAAACTTATCTTTTGTGAAGTTAATTAATTACTTTCATTTAATTATATTAAGTAATATTAATTAATTTTAATATAAATAATTTTCCTCGGTACATGATTTTATAATACTAGAAAAATCTCTGGAGTGATATCCACTTTTCCTAGAACACAGTTTTCTATCTCATTGTTCAAGCCTCATTTTACATGACTAAGGAAAGGGGAATTTATATAGAATAGAGGTGTTCAAGAGTATCTATCATGGAGTATCTACCTTGTATTTAACATAGATTATTTGGACGTAAAAAACAAGCTCTTATCCCAATTAGAGCCCGTAAGACTTCGTAAGGTTCAATAGGGTTGCCGATGGATTGGTTCTACCTGACTGCCCAAACTGAACCAAACCGATTATGTTGGTTCACGTCTCATGATTTTGTTCTGATTAATAATTGGGTCAGTTACAATGAATTAATGAACTCTCAAGATTTATATTCCTTACAATGCATTTTAGACAATGTTGATGTAAATATACTCTTTTTTTTTTTTCATCTAATTAGTTTACTTTTCCATTCGCTTCCCTACAAGCATTAATTACAGGGACATCACTTATACAAGTATTATACATTGTAGTAAAATTTACTTGTAAAATCGACAAGTACATACATAAAGACAAAACAAGCATAAAATCATAAGTTAAAGGCCTATAACTGCTATGCCCTTATCGAGAAAGTTAGGGGAAAGACAACAATAAATTAAGGATGTCTAACAAATTTGATTTGCAATAGGCCAAAACCATTGGAGGGTTTAAATGTAATTCACAATTATAAAAATCACAGTTTATATTTGTATTAACGTTAATTAAAATAATGAAGTGATAGCCCTTGTGAAGCAGGGCCCCTCTGCTAGTTTTTCTCTTAAAACAGGCCGGTCAAATACATTTTTGAGAAAATTTTACTTTAATATCCTGAACTTTGGGGGTAGTGTCAAGTTAATACCCGATCTTTCAAACATGTCACTGCAATACCCAAACTCTCAAAAAGTGTCAAATTGGTCCAAAACTGTTAACGAGCGTTAAGTATCATGTACAAGGACAAAAATGCCCTTTGCTTATCATCTAATTTTCTTATAATTCGTATCCGATCTCTAACCAATTGAAGTTCAAAGTTGCCCGTTGTCATAGGCAATGGCAAAGAAATGTTACACAACTGTTGTACATACCCATTGTGAAATGCCTACACTTCTCTGACTGTTGATTTTTGAGAAAAACGAGAGGAAACAGATGAGAATGCCCATCTGAATCGATCTCCAAGTTCTCCCAATCAAATCCGGCCGGAGGTGGTGGCAGTGAAGGAGGAAGAGAATTGACCCCGCTCAAAGTTGCAACTAGTGATGATATGGGGAAGGAGCGGTCCGATGCCACCGATAGACACCACCAGTAAACCAAGAAAAAATATTGCATGTGCCCCATTAATAGAACCTAGGTCAACGAGGTAAAGGGCTGTGGAACAACTTCCTCCTTTGTTTTCTTTTCCCTTCTCTATTGATTTTCTTGAAGCTGCACCATTTTGTTTCTCCTGGTTTTAATCCATGCTTATTCGGCTCAAATCGGTGGCTTTCCCCTCTTTCCCTCTCTTTCTCGCCATTGGTGTAACTTCCTAGCTATGGGGTTCCTTGATTTTTTGTTTCTCAAGTCTGCAGGAAATCGATCTTCAAAGAGAAGAGAAGAAAAATGGAAGTTGGAGCTTTGAGATTAACACTACCAGGTAAAAATAACTTCACCTGTTTCCTCTAATGTTCTCAGAAAATCTCCATTCTCTCTTCTCTTGACCCAATGCACCACCCTACTGCAGTTTAACTTGACAGAAATCACCAATTTGGGAGTGAGTGCTTCTCTACTTCGGGCTGAAACCACCTCACTGCAGTTTAACTTCTTCCAGTACTGGGGTGCACCGCATCCGTCTGTTGATCTCAAATCGGTATTGGGTTGCCGCCGTTTCACCCTCTCTCCTTCCTGTTCTGGTTAGAGGTGTCATTGTTTCCCCTTCTCTCCCTGTTCTGGTTAGAGGTGGGCCTACCATCTAAAGCTAGGAGACAATGAACGGTATCTTCATTAGTCCAAAATCTCAAACACTTCAACTGGTTCAATCTCAAGATAGAAGAATTTGGATACTACAGTGATGCATTTGAAAATTCGGGTACTAACTTGACACTACCCCAAAAGTTCAGGGTACTAAAGTAAAATTTTTCCTAAATTTTTACCATTAAAACTTAAAACGCCTATGTGGCACCTATGTATACTCAAAATAGCAATACCGCATCACACTTCCAAACATCACCTTAGTCTCTCTATCAGCTGTAGATCAATCAACAATCAAATTTGTTTCACTCTAAACTTGCCATACAGTGATACAACCTCACTTGAGTCTTCACTCGATCCTTCTTCAACATCTTCCCCTATAACTCCTAAATCGATTCTCTAACGGCTGCTCAAAATCAACACCTTCAACCAGAACTCCACTTCAAAAGCTCTCCACTCTTAAACCTCGTAAGAAGCGATTGAATTCCAAACACCTTTGGATTTCTAGAGGAATGAATGGAATATTGCCATAACTGTAAAATGTCAGAGATTAATTTCATTAGGATAAGATTATTTTTATCTTATGCTATGTTTGGTTTGAAGGAAAAAGTAGGGAAAGGAAGGGAAAGATATGAAAACCTATACAACGTTTGTAAAGGTTTTCCTAACTTTCCTTTCCCTACTTTTTCCTTCAAACCAAACACAGCCTTAATGTTATACTTTTATGCTATAATCACCAATTAAATTGTAATGCAATCAACTGATTAGGCAGATACGTTTTTTAGTACAGTTCAAAATTGTTACGGGAAATAAGAAATAATAAAAGACCAATTCTACATGACTATAAAAACACTTGGTACAAGAAATATTATCAGGGGAGGATAAAATTTTTGAGACATTTGGAACCAAAAAGAAATGGGTTCAATCCTTATGTTAGAGGAATTATGCGACTCCTTAAGCATCCTTTCATGTAGTTACCCCCCCCCCCCCCAATATATTCCTCTAAAGAATGTGTTAGGAAGACTCTTACATGTTCTAAAAGGCAAAGTCATTTGGCTATTGTAAAGTAACTTAAGGATAAAATTTTTGAGATATTTGGAACCAAAAAGGAAATGGGTTAGAATCCTTAAGTTACTTTACAATAGCCAAATGACTTTTCCTTTTAGAACATGTAAGGGTCTTCCTAACACATTCTTTAGAGGAATATATTGAGGGGAACTACATAGAAAGGATGCTTAAGGAGTCGCATAACTCCTCTAACATAAGGAATGAACCCAAGTATTTCAATTCCACCCTAAAATCCACAAATATACATTCCCAGAATTTAAATATATAAAAAAACCTAAATCAAAAGAAGAGAGCCAAAGATTTAAATTGAAAAGGAAATAAACAGGAAACATCCAATGCTTCTCCTAACAATAGCCAGAGGTGCAATGAGCAACCTTTGTGAAAAGCAAGTGTACAAGGAGCATTTGTATCCAACATAATTAATTTTTTCTCATTCTTCATAGGGCTGCATGGCAAAACAATGACACATTGGCACTCCTAAAGCTTGTAGATAATTAAGACAAATAACTATCAAATAGAAATGCACATAGTTACCCCATGGGTTTAATTCCCAATATGGTTTTCATGTGTTGTTGCTTCGCTTTTTGGGTGTGTTCTTTTGGATTTTGAGAGGGGGGAAGTCCCACTTGGGAGGAAAGCTGCCAACACTTGACTGGGACAAAAATGCCCATTTTAATATTGAATTTTTATGGATAAAATGGTCGGGAAATGGATAGTCCAAAGATTGCAGTATCTCTCTCTCTGAGCCTGAAGCAGCTTTTTACGGCTTGCTAGAGAACCCTTGTCCATAATCTTCATTGCAAAATAGCACTTTGTCCCACTCAACTCTGTCACGTAGAGACTCCCAATGTCCCCACACTGAACCTCTTCAGCAGTCTGAAATGGCTAAAACCCAAGACCCCATCTTTTGTTCGGACAGACTGGATAACTTCCCATCTCAAATCATTTGCTTTGTGAGGCTTGCTGATACTGCTACTAATGCTGCTACATGTACTCTCGTCACTCACATCACTGCTTCTGCTTCCTCTACACATGCTGCTCTTGCCACTCTCAATAAAATCATGGTCACTAATCCGCTGGTCTTGGTGAGTACTAATTCCATCACTAGCTTTGGTAGAAGCTGACCTGTCCTTTACACTTTGCTCAGATATTTTCTTTTCCAGATCACCAACTTCCAGTGAACCCCTAGTTATATTCACTGCAGGTGCAGGACCTACCTTTCTTAAAGGTTCTGTTACCGTATGATCTCCCAAGGAGCTATTTGGATCAGTTTTATTGGGCAATAAGTCATCCGGCCCCTTTTGACAAGGATTTGATGATTTTTGATCCCCTGAAGCTTCTGAACAGATCTGCTTGGATGGTATAGGTTGTACGCTTCTTGGTGGATTTTTTTTGGGGTAAGAAGCTCTGATTTTCTTGTTTTTGAAACCTGCAAAGGCAAAGGTCTATGAGGGGTCAGTTCTGTTTGATTACCAGCTGCTTTCTGCTGCTGCTCTGAAGAATCTTTGGCACTAGTTTTCGAGACCGTCCTAAGAATGAAGACTCTTTAAGTGGAGCAAATTAATGAAACCTATCACTTGTCCCTAAGTTTCAACCTCGTAGTGGCCCCCATCAACAGACCCAAATACTTCCTCGCTAACTTCACAATGAACAGCTCGAGGAGAAAATTATATCTGGTTTCAAAGATCAGAACTTTAGAGTTTTTCTTTAGCAGAGAAAAGAGTAGTACTGCTGTAGTGAGAGAAAGAACTGTTTTTGTTCTGTCCAAGCAAAATTTGAACCCATGCACTTAACCTAGAATAAAGGAAATGTAAAGGTCAGTTAAACGGTTCTTACATAAAAATAATGATATTCAAAGTAAATAAAAATCACTACAACAAGACACAAATTACAAAACAGAAGAAGAGAACCTCCCTGGTCCTGCAAGAATAAAAAACCAATAGACCAGACGGCCAGGGAGATACACAAATTACGTACAATATACTAATCCCAATACTTCCAAACTAAACATGCTAAATCACTATCCTAACCTGATCACTTCATCTTCCTAAATCGGGATTTTCCAGTTGCAATCCTATGGTCGTGTGTGAGCAACCACAAAATTATTGTAGTAGGTTAATGTTAATGAGTTTACTTCTGTTAACTTTAGGGCTACAAACATGACAGAAATATTGAGTAACCATTTGATATGTAAGTATATCTAGAGATCCCTTTCAAGTCTCACACCAAATAAGATCACAGGGTTGTGATGGTACTAGCTTTCAAATACTTTTAACAATCTTCAACTATAAGAACTAAAAATTTATTGACCATAGTTAAGATAGTCCATATTAAAAGTATATACTGTTAAAATAATCCTAACATTGTACACCAATAATCTAAAGGTTTGTCTTTATTACTTAGTAACGTTCCACACGAAAATGGCATTCATAGTCCATACCCTGTGTTAGCTGTTTTTTTTTTATTGATAGCTCTATGTTTACATAGAAGTGTCCCTCAAGAATCTATCGAGTGTCAGGGTCCAACACATGTTTGACACAAACATTTCATTCATTTAGGAGAGTTAGCCCATGGAACATTACAAAGAAACTAGAGTTTGCTCCTAGGAACATTAGAAAAGTTCCAATGAAATATTACCAAATCTCTCTTTAATGTTCAGTAGCATTGAGCATTTCTTTGCTATGCTCCCATCCAAATATGAAGGGTAAGAGTAAGCTAAAAGCTTAAATATAAAAACTTAGAAAGGCAACAACATGAGAAATGATTCAAATTTCATCTATCAGATAAATATAGGATTCATCATTCATATTAAAAGGACTTCATATTAATAAGTAAGATATGTAATGTTCATCTAGTATCGCTTTGGATTTTCAAGTAGAATCAATATACATAGTGTGCTTTGGAAAATACTGCATAACATTTGACAGAAAATATACTTATCAAAAGAAAAAAAAGAAAAACATTTGGCAGCAAACAATCCATGGAGATCTCATTCTTCAACTTCAAGTTGGTATTGCTTTATGGCAAAACAGTGTAAAAGACAGAGGTTAAGTGGGCAGCCACAGAATTTTTTTAATAAAAAATCAGACCAAATTGTTTTTATTAATATGGAAATCTCTGAAAGCATTTTCAAATAATCAAGTAATAGAATGAAAACCACTTGTCACATGGTGCCCTACAGGCAAGGCATGTTTCCATGATTCCAGCCACTTAACAAAGGTTCAGCCCTAAGTCCTCCAGTTAACATGGAAACATTCATTCAAGTTGGCCTCTTCTAAGAGAATGTCTGGTAAAAAGATTGAGGGCTGGACCACCATTTTTCTCTACCAAGAAATTGCTTTCTTTCATGCTATTATACAATGTGTAGCATATATTAAAGTTTGAATTCTATCTCTGAGCAATATAACCATCAAGTATCATTAGAACTTCAAAGTAAAGCTAGGGTTGCCAAAGTCCAAGTTATGTCAATACAGCCTGAAAAAAGTGCTTGTAGAATCAAATAATGAACTTGCAAATACGGAAATGGCCATCAACAACATGGGGATTTACTTAGGATTATAGGAAAGCTCGAAGTTCGTGGAGGCAAGACGACCAACGCTAACTTAAAAGGAAAACCTGGATAAAATATGTGTGCATTTCATAAGTTTGAAAAGATGGAACTCATAGGGTATTCATGATTCTATCATGTATAGAATAATATTTTATTAGCGTCCTTACTTGTAGACTGTTACAGCATTTCAATTGTCAACATATAAAGGTAGATCCATCAGTGTTGCGCCCATTGGATGCTCTTAAGGTCTATTCCTTCCTTCACCATCTCATAAAGAGGGCTCATCTCTCTCAACTTCTCAACCTGCTGCACCGTAAGCTCAATTGCCCGATCAATTTCGGTCTCTGTTGTAAACCTTCCAATGCCAAACCTAATTGACGTGTGAGCCATATCCTCATCCACCCCCAAAGCCCTTAACACATAAGATGGCTCCAAACTGGCACTTGTGCAGGCACTGCCACTAGAAACTGCAACCTCCTTCAATCCCATAAGCAGGCTCTCCCCTTCAACATAGGCAAAAGAGATGTTTAGATTACCAGCATACCTCCTCTCCATGCTTCCATTCACCGCTACACCATCAAGCTTAGCCCTAATTCCATTGAGCAGTCGTTCCTGCAGTGCAGTAATCCGCTTCTCATCGTATTTCATTTCCTTCATTGCTAGCTCACACGCAGCGCCCATGCCAACGACCAATGGAGTCGGAACAGTCCCACTCCGAATCCCTCTCTCCTGCCCACCACCATTCATCTGCGGCTCCACCCTAATTCTGGGCCTTCGGCGGATATAAAGTGCCCCAACCCCCTTGGGTCCATAAATTTTGTGCCCACTGAGTGACATCAAGCTCACATCCATCTTCTCGACATCAATTGGGATCTTTCCAAGAGCCTGCGCCGCATCCGTGTGAAAAGGGATGTTCATTTCTTTGCAAATCTTGCCAATTTCTTCAACCGGTTGGATGACACCGATCTCGTTATTGACAGCCATGACGGAGACGAGCCCGGTATCGGGGCGAATAGCAGAACGAAGGTGATCGAGGTCGAGAATACCATCGGAGCCGACGGGGAGGTAGGTGACGTTGAAACCCTCTTGTTGAAGGTGGCGGCAAGAGTCGAGGACGCACTTGTGCTCGGTCTGGGTGGTAATGACGTGGCGCTTCTTGTCCTTGTAGAAGTGCATAACGCCTTTGACGGAGATGTTATTGGATTCGGTGGCGCCGGAGGTGAAGACGATTTCTTTAGGAGAGGCGTTGATGAGGGCAGCCACCTGGGCTCGAGCCTTCTCGACGGCGATGTCAGACTCCCAGCCGTAGAGGTGGGTGCGAGAGTGAGGGTTGCCGTAGCGTGAGAGATAGAATGGGAGCATCGCGTCCAAAACCCTAGGGTCAACAGGGGATGTGGCTTGCATGTCCAGGTAGAGGGGTCTACCGGAAATTTTGACGCCTTTCATCGTAATCTCCCCTGCGTCTTCATACTGCTGCTCTTGAAGAGGAAGAGGAGACGGGGTTGGTGCAGTAGCTGTAGCTGCTACGGAGAGTGTTCGGAGGTGAGATATTAGGCCTCTGTTGCATGTTTGGCGGAGCTTCGACGCAAAAAGCTTCGTCGTCATTGTTTGTCTCTTCAGTCTTCACCAGTTCACCGTTTTACTTTGCTCTCAGCCAAAACAATCGGATTGAATTCGATCTATACAAAATCGAGCACAGATCTCCTGCACTCACGTTGGTGTGTGCAGGCTTCCACTCAAGTTTTTACACGTTTCACTTCACATGTCACCCAGGCTCATATGTGCGGGATTTGTTATACAGTCGTAAGTTTTTTCCATGAAGGGTAAAGTTCTTAAATTACCCTTATAGTTTACCTAATTGATTAACTGTATTCATATTGTTTGAAAATTGACTCACGATATCCTCATTGTTTTTTACAATTGACTAATTCTACCATTGTCGTTAACATGCGTTAATTTTTTGAAACCTAATTTTGCCCTTACCAATAGCAAACTGATTTGGCTTGGTCCTTAATCGGCGACGATAGCCCTCCACCTCTGGCCTCTCTCTCTTCCCCTTCATTCTTTCTCCCTCTTCCCCCCTCTTTACCCTGTTTCATCACCCAGCTGCAGCGACGGACCCCTCTCTTAGCTTAGGGCACAAATAATCTTGGAGAAATCATATTTCTAGATAGTTTGTTGAGGTTTCGGTTGTTCAATCATGCTGCAACGATGGCAAAGAAACCGAGGAGTTCTCAGATACCAAGCAGGAGTTCTCAGATACCAATCATGCTGCAACGATGGTTGTTCAATCACGCTTGTTCCAGCTATGCTTATAATGTTTTCCTTCGTTCTTGTCATGCTATTCGTTCTCGGATTCTTTTCTCCTCTGGTAGACACAGATGATCCCCCGAAATCAAGAGATATGAGTTTGTTCATCCACAAGACTGTGTAGAGGTATGCCACCTTGTAGACGTGGCTCTTCGGCGACTGCTCGAGCAATGTCTATTGGAGGTCTTTCCCGGTGGATCTCTAAAATGCCACACCCCATCGGATTCGGTGCTGTAGAAAATGCTCCGAAGAAGCTCCAGCAACATCAGAAACGCCGCAGCTCCTAGAAGATCTCCAAGTTTTTCAGGCAAAAGATCCCCTAGAGATATATCTCGAACTCCAATCTCCTCTGTCAAAAAACCTCAATCTGATTCTCATCCGGGTTCCACATTCAGTCAGGACACAACTCCATCGACTGGATCTTCGTCAGCTTTGCTATCGTCATCTCCTTACTAGGGCTTTAACACAGTATCGACCAATCTCTCAAACTAGGGCTTTAACGCATAACGTAGTAGGTCAGTGACACAGAGGAAGAAGACTTCAGTCTTTAACACAGAGGAAGAACACAATATCGACGAATCTCTTCCCGTCCGTTCTCTTTATGGTCAGGAACGTGATTTTTTTGGATGAAGACCAGATTGGACACATGCGGCGAAGACCAGATTGAGGAAGAATTGAAGGAATTTTCAAGGGTAAAATGGATATTTCAATTGTTAATATTTTACCGGCAATAGTAATTTTCCAAAACAGTAGGGTATACTTAATCAATTAGTTGAACCATAAGATAGTTTAAGAAAAACAAAAGCATATAGACAAAACCAAACCCTATGTTGTAGACCTGACAATTGGGTTGGGTGGGTCGGGTTTGGGTTGGGTCAAGATACTTTGGGTTGATTTTGGGTTGAGTTGAATTTCGAGTTGGGTTTTTAAATGCTAGACCCTAACCCTAAATGTTTGGGTTAGGGTTGACCCATGGGTCAATTCGAATCATCCCAAAAAATAAAGAAAAATTACATGAAAAATGTCAAAATTAAAAGAATTAACCTTACAATTCTAAATATAAAATAAAAAACTTGAACATTTAACAATTTAAAGAGTAAATAATAAAAAATAAAGACTAAATAGAAAAAAATTAAAGAATGGAAACTTCTAACAATGCATAAATAATCCCAATTAGACTTGACAATCGAGTTAGCAAGTTGACCCATGATCCAACCCAACGCAACCTAGTTTTTTTCAGGTTGAGTTGGATCGGGTCGTTTTCACATTTGGGTAGCTAAATATGAGACCCTAACCCTGTTTTTTCGGGTTGGGTCAGCTTTTTGCCAAGTCTACTATACTGCCATTACTACTGTCCAAAGATTATTGTTTGAAGGGGTTTATTGCTTCTTCTTCTTAAAGAGTTACTTAGATTCCAGAACATGAAGTCACATACCAAAGATACAAGTATTGATTGGTTTTTAGTAATATAGATTTTGATTCATTAGGTGCTTAGATTTTCAGGGTTTTTTTCAGGCGTCTTTTTCTTCTTCTTCTGACCTCAGCCCTCAGGACCCTACAAATCAAATGTTCTTAACAATGTGAAGCCATGGATCAACAACGTCCCTAAGCTATCCAAGTTGTCTTGGTACACCTCCGTGCACACATTGAAAGTTGTATTTCCATTGGGACTTTTAGTCTTCATGAGATTAAAGGACTCCCAAACTTTGCTTGATTGATTTTAAGGATAGAGGCATGGGTGGTTGAAGGTCAAAGAAGAGTGGGAAATTTCAGATTTGAAGAGTGGAAAGGTTGAGGAGAGTACAGAAAGAAATTTTAGATTTAGAAAACAGAGGCTTGCTTTGCAAAACTCCAACCCTTGATTGAAGATTTAAAAACAAATGGACTTTGTTGCAAATGTCTTCTGACCCTGGCTGAGGTATGAAGAAGAAATGGAGGTTTGCAATTGTCCATTAATGGTGTCTACCCAGCCAAGTTGGGTTTGCAAAGTATTTCCCCTGTTTTGTTCTCTCTTGAACTTTCCTTCTTTCACTTTTTCTGAAAAAAATATAAAAGAATAATGGAGGAATCAGGAAAGTAAGACCCGCACATGTGAGCCGAGATGCATGGAAAGTGAGACATGTCTAAATATGATTTATAGTGCACCCCCACATACACCAACAATTTTTTGAAGGCTTTAAATCATATTTCATTCATTCAAGAGATTGATACAAAGAGATGCCAACAAGGCCAAATAAAGTTCAGAGACAATATCTCAAGAAGAACAAAATAAAGAGATGGATGAAGGAGAATCGAAAGAACTTTTGCAACCAAAGCAAGGTGAATTGGGAGGTTTCCAATTCATAACCGGCGAGCGGAATTGGAAGGTTTCCAACAAAAATAAAAAGTGATAGTGGTGGTTACAAAGCCAAAAGCCATAATCTGTAACTTCCTACCACTCCAATCCAATCCACAAAAGACGCATGACCAAGAATTATAACTGACATCCAGCACACTGGAGAACTGTCAGTTGCGAACTGCCATCCAAAAAATGTCGAAGAACTATAATGTCCATCCACAATGCCGAAAAACTGAAACTGCCATCTAGAAAAGGAACTTCATATCAAAATGCATGTAGAAAGAAAGAAAGCATAAAAATAACAGGGAAGAGCGATAATAGAGCTAGCAAAAGGGGAAACAAAGAGAACAAGCGAATAAAAAAACAAATGGAGAAGAACATAAGAACAAACAAACAGAGAAATGGAGAATAGAAAAGGAAAACAAAAGAACAGATGGAGAACAAAAATAGAGAACAAAAAAAAACCATATGAAAACAGGGGAAAAAGGAGAATAGAAGAACAAAAAAATAGAGAAACAAACAAAGAACAGAAAAGAAATGAAACCTCGAGAGAGGTTGAGAGAAAACCTCTCTCAAAACATAGAGAAGCAAAGCAGGGGGTTGACTCCCCGAAGGGAGTCACCTCTATCAAACAACTCTACAACGAACGATGAACAGAAAAGAAACCCTATGCACACACCAACATGAGTGCAGGAGATCCAGGCTTTAAAAAATCAGGGGGACTTGGTTTTCATAACGATAAGAACCCACAAGATTTTCCAACTTGTAAAATGGGTCCGAAAATACTTGCTTTTCCGATTTGCCTAAAAGAGAATTTAATTTAATTGACTTCAAATATTGGGCTTATGACCAACCATTCGTTAGTGTGCTAGCTGGTTTCTTCCATCATTGATGCAAAATCAAAATCCCGCAAGTAGTAATTTGGGAAAAAGGGGTCGGGGGAAGTTATTATTGGCAATGTTTTCAACATATTGTTGACCTGACCAGTCGAATTGTTCGAACCATTATTGGCCAGAAATCTGGGTTTGGTTCAATCAAGACTCATCAAATGGTTAAGAACTATTTGACCATTGGCTTGTTTGACCCAGTGACCCATTCGACCTGATGACCAGGTTGCAGGTTGCACACTGAATACATGCAAACTTTTGTATGCCAAGAGCCGTGTCTTGCCCCACTGTTTTTCGTAAGAAAAACCCTTTTTTGGCTTCAAATTGTAATTTTTAATATTTTTTAAGTTAAAAATTAAAAGTTGAAATAAAAAACATATATTAAATATAAAATAATACATATAACATAATCTAAAACATATTTGTAAATTATTTATTACTAAAATATATATTTATACAAACACACACACACACATAAACTTAATACATATATATGCTGATGTGGCATGGTCTGAACTGTTTGATCTAGCTAGTCGAACTGGTGACCCACGAACTGGAGGCAAAAACGGTTTGGCCTCCGAGTCAATTTTTAAAACATTGATTAATATAGGTTTCATGGTTTAGCTAATTTACTAATTTTTTTGGATAAATTACAAGGACCCCCTTGTATTATGGGGTTGGTGACAAAGGCTCCCTTATACTTTAATTTGCAACAAAGACCCCTGAACTTTAAGTGTTAGACAAAGACCCTTTAACCGTTAAGCCAAATGATAGAATACATTAAATTACCAAAATACCATTAAACTTTTTCTAGTTTCTTTTTTGCCATTTTCTCTTAAAATCTAACACTCTCTCCAACATCGAATTCCATCCATAGTGTGTGTATAAAAAAACATCCCACCTACCAAGTAGTATTTGACCAGCCTACACCGTCATTCCTCCCGTGTTCGTTGCCCATTTCCATAGTTCGAAGCAATAAAGCAGGAAACAAACTCTGTTTCTACTCATTCACGGTGAAACATCTCCAATCAGACATATAATTGCAAAATCTATCCTTTAGTTGTACACTTCTTATTTTCCAATCCCCATTCTTCCAAAATCTTCACATTTCTTGATTATCAGAAAAAAAGAAAGAAAAATAATTCAGAATCAAATCCTCCCCACTCGTTGGTCCCACCGAGGCTCTGGGGCAAATGGGATTTCTTACTTTTTCTAACCACTCTCTACCCATCGTAATTGTAGCCATACATTTCTATTATGAATTGAAAGATGTGTGACTACAATTCACAAACAAGTAGAGAGTGAGAAGAC